CACTCATCCATTAGTTCCCATTCTGAAACCACAATTCACAATATTTCATTTATCGATTTTTCTATCATCACCACAGAATCTTCAGATCTTGAACTCTAAATTAAAAAAAGTCTACTCAGAGCTAAAGACCGCCCAACCCTTAACGACTGAAATAGCTCTTTAGATCAAAAATTGTTCTAAATATTCACACTTAACTCAGCTGTTGTGTAATATATATATATAAACATTGTTTCACCCATCCATTTACAGTTTTTCTTAATAACTAATTAAATTAATGATTACGTTATTATATTATAATTTTAGTAATAATCATCTTTGTAACACAATTTTCAAATTTTGCTGAAGATGGAATAAGCTTGACACTTGTAAATAAAATGTTTTATCAAACATCTTCATCTTCATTATTTAATCTTATTTTTATATGGGATATTTGTGTGAATTCTCAGCTTTGAAAATATTTCTTTTTAATACGTTTTAAGATAATTAAAAATGCTTACCTTTTTATTACTTTAATGTGTTCCTCTTTTTTTTAAAAAAAACTTCCTGGTTTTTATTTTACAGAACAAATTCTATCTTTATTTATAATCAATGGCATGAAAATAAAATATTTTTTTTACCATCCCAAAATTATAAGCCAATTTTGTTAAATGTTAATCAGAAGGTTTCCTTTAACATATACAATAAGTTTAAACTAATTTTACATTCATGTATATGTATATATTTCATATTTCCTTTTCATGAATTTCTTTGCCCATTCAAACAGTTATTTAGACAGATAAGGCCTAATGCAAGTTGGGCTTAATACAGCAGTAAAACAAACTTAATACAGTCAAGTGCATCAATGTTGTAACAAACAGACAACAACGAACCATTTGGACCTTCAAAATAATCCTTGCATATCTACCCTTAACAAAAGTAAAAAACACCCTTTATTTTTTTTAAGGAAGTTGATACCCCTCCAGTAAACAAAACTGTCTTAAAAGGAGCCTAGTCCAGCTTTTCATAAACTTGTGTCCTCTCTTTCTACAGTCTTCATCATACAGCACAATGAGATAACAAGTCTTTATCCTATCAATCCCTAGGATAATCTTGTAAATTTTAGTAAGATCACTTCTTACCTGTATTTTCTCAAGTGAAAATAAGTAAGGAGAAATTAGCCTCCTATAAGATTACCCTTATAATATCCTTTATTGGATAATGAGACCAAAACTGTGCACAGTCAAGTGAGGCCTAGCCAATATGTATAGAAATAATTACCTCTTTTGACTTGTAATCAATATATCCATAACAATTTATACTTGTGTCTCCTAGTCCTACCATTAAGTATATAAAAAAAAACAAGTTGATGCATCAACACAGGAAAGTTCCCTAACAATCTCAAATATCTCAATCAGGTTCTCCTCTTTTCTTCAACAGAAAATAATTTCAGAGAGCTTAACCTATCCTTGAATGACAGCTTTTGTATCCCACGTTTTCATCCTAGTAGCCTTCCTCCGAGCACCTTCGAACAATTCAATGTCCTTCCTAAGAAAAGGAGCCCAAGGCCTAATTCTAGACTTATCCAATGAAATTATCACATCTTTAGACTTGTGTTCAACATTTCTGTGGATTCAATGTAAAATACTATTTACCCTACCACTAGCAACAGCACATTGCTTGGATGGCTCAAGATCCAGATCAACCAGAGCAATAAGGTCTTATCTTCCATATTGGCATTGAGGTTTTTCTCATCAAAATTATATATATATATAATAATCTAAATGCATTACCTAGCATTCATCATAATTAAAGGAACAACTCACCAAATAATCCAAATTCTTTTGTAAAGCAGCAGCATCCTCCTCACAGCCAACTATGCCCAAGACTTTAATATGACACATTACACCATGCCCCAGGGTATTAGGAGTTTTTTCGTCCATTGTTATTAATTATTTTATGTTTACATTTCTGATCAACAATGATTTTCTCTAAAATGCCTCAGATTTGGAGATTACATTTCCCCAAGTGCCCCGAGTGTACCCACATGATTTTACAAGATACTCTAGGGCACAACAGTGTGCCAGGGCATGGTGTAATGGGACATTTCATCAGCAAATTTTATGTCATTTATTGACCACTCCTTCCACTATGTCATTGATGAATATCAAAAAGTGAAAAAGGTCCTAACACTGAGCCCCCGAGTTACCCCATTTGCAACATTAATACAGTTTGACTGAATTCCATCTATAACAACCCCCTTCTTTCTTCCATTCAGCTATTTTTCTATCAAATGAGCCAACTTGTCTTTCACACATATATAGTTTTTAACAAGCCTTTTATATGGCACCTTTTCAAATGCTTTCCAAAAATCCAGATACACTACATCTACACCATTGCCCTCATCCAAATAAGAATATCAAAAAATTGATTAGAAAGGCAAGATTTTCCCAAAGTGAAACCATGTTGACTACCCAACAAAACTTTCAACTTTGTTAAATAGCTTTATGAAGCATCTTTTACAAACTTTCAAAACTTTTTCCCAACACTATTCAAAATTTGCAAAAAAAAAAAAAAAAAAGTCCTGTTCATTATTAAGAACTGATGAAGGTTATGCAGAGATATTAGAAAACGCTTGAGAGCTTGCAAAAGAAATAAAAATAACTGGAATATCTTCTCGAAACAAACAGAACTGCTCACTTAAAAAAAAAATCCAAAACTGATAAAAATTAAAATAGAACTTTTTGATTTTAAAATAAAAATAAGTATTTTTTATACTATTTCAAACATGGCAAATGATAGAAAATATACATCAGATACTAGGTACTGTTGTGTAGGAAGCTAGTTTTAAGTTTCATGCAATGTGGTTATTTCCACTGTTAGAAAAAAAAAGAAAACATCAACAGATATCAGCGACACTATCCCGACCTAAAAATAGTTTAATAAGCAGTGCTCCACTAAACCCTTCCATTGGCATCCTGCCAAAACTGCCAACTTTACCTCTGCCAGTGCTAGTGGCTTCAAAGCATGTTGGCTATCGCCACTGTCACCATAGAAGGAGCAGTGGCAGCAGCATCCACTATGTAATTTCATATATGCAAATTATGATGTAATACCACTTATATATTGGCTTGTATCAGATGGTGAGGAAATTGAACTGTGACATATTGTAGGCCCTCTCATGAAGAATAACTAAAAATATTATGAAAAGTGAAACTGCACGTGAAGTCAAGTAAGCACGATCATTTTTTGACACTTATATCACTCTGATTTTTTTTTTAATTTGGCCCTCACTGTTGCTAATGGAAAAAAAAAAAAAGAGAAACTTTTGCATATTCAAATAAATCAAAATTTATTCGAGATCAACCGTGTTACAAACAATAATGGTTGAACGAAACTATTTTGATTGAGCATTGTGCATATTTGCCTCAATGAAAATGAAATATCTGTAACAGAAAGTTTGAACTGGCAAGGTACTCATAACTGGACTGTTTCTATAAGTATAACATTTTCTTGGATTTTAAAAATATAAATAAATTTCGTTTGTAGTCCTGTTTTCATTGTACAACTGAAAGTAAAACTGTAGGGGAGAGGGGGTTCAGGTAAAAAAAAACACCCTACAATTTATTTTCTTATCTTCAGCAATCTTTTCTTTGTTTTTATGCGAGATGAAACATTGTGTACTTTTTTATTTTATTTACATGAATAACCCTAACAGTCTAGAAATATTATTACTAATTAGTGCCTGATTTAGTGATTGCACAAAAAATGTTCTCTATGTCATCTAGGTTTGGTCAATAACTACAGTGCAAGTAACATGTGGAGCTAAAGTAAAATTGTTGAAGGAGAGAAGATTATATACATATATACGAAATGTAGCTTTACCTAGGCTTTAGCCAGAGTATAATATTAATGATAATAAACATATGGGTAATGGAATAATCTCGTACATAACTACATTACACAAGTGAAACTACGTCAATCCATTCTTTTGAAAACTGCTTACATAAGTTGTGGTTAAATCAAAATATGAATTTTAACTCTTTGAATTTTGCTCAGTTTGAGTCGACTACACAAGAGACTGAGATGTAAGAATAATATTAACATTAATGAGACAGCCATATTACTTAGTACAAATGAAAACCTAAATAAGTCAGAAGTTTTTTGGCAATGCTGAATCATGCGAAGAGTGCTAATTTTAGCTAAGTTACATCAGATTAACGTTGCTGTACTATTACTAACACAATACGTGTAACACTAATCCCAATAGTTAGGCCCAGCACTATTAGTACGTTACTAGTCCTAGTACTACAGACCGAGTATTAATATTAATAATTATAGTAATTTATGTATAAAGTGATGATACTGATAGCAATACAGTATTAACTTTGACAATAGGTACCAACTGTAGGCTTTGGTTGCTTTAAATGGTACAGTTAAATACTTAACAATTAATACACCATTTAATAATAACAATAAATTGTAGATATATACCTTTAGAAATATCGAATATACCATCATCCTGAACTTTTCCTAATCACAAACACATGATTCCTATTTTGTCCAATGAAAACATGAACTGCTGGGTTGAAGTTTCTCCTTTCCAAAACGTGATTCACGAACTATAACTGGAAAAAATAACATTTCTTAAAGTAAAAACATCATTCAGATATTTAGTAAATATTTGTAATAAAGATATAATATAAAATAAATATTGGTTTGGTCAAGTGATAAAATATTCATAGCTAAATCTTTAACATATTAAATAAAATGTTTCAAAACACACATATAACAATATCACGTTTTGAGAGAACCTAGACTTATTAGTCAGCTTCCAACGCGGCAACTATGACGTCCCTATAAACATTTTACTTGTCGACCTAACATTGGATAAATTAATGTCTACGTCATGTTTGAATTAAATATTTGGCAGCTTAATACGGTATTTTACAAATACTGCAATTTTTTCCGAAAGCTAGTGAAAAGAATATTCTAAGGTGATACATATTTCTAAGTAGTATTATTCCGCTTTTGGTAGTCCTTTTTTTTCAAGAAGGAATAGCAAATATATGGTAGAGTTTGATTTTTCTAGTTCTGTGCTATGTATTGTATTCTCACTCACTCGTGCTCACCCCTTCACGTAAATTATTTTATTCAACCTCTACTGAGAAAAAACATTAATTTAGTTTAAATAGTCACGATTGTCATAATTTGGAGTATAGCATCCTTTGGTATTCGTACCCTACGGCACAAAGCTGTACAATGGGCTCCATGTGGTCTACTCACCGTGGGTATCGAAATCCATTTTTTTTATCATATAAGCCCTTAAGCTTACCGCTGAGCAGGAACGTCGAGAGCCAGCACGGGCCCCGGGGCAAACATCCTCGCCGGGCTCCCTTTTTTAACATTTTCAAGAATTTATTTAAAAGAAGATCTTAAATTAGGACAGCAATGAGCTCATAAACCAGACAAAATCATAGCAGCAGCCGTTTTTACTTCACAGTATAAGTGTAGAAACGTCAATAAAGTAACAAATACATATTAATTATTACTCAACTTATTATTTCAGTCGTTCTTAATGTATCAAGCGTCTATATGCAAAGAAAAGCCAAAACTATGGTGTTTTATCATTAAATGAAGATATAGCCTAAAGATGCTTTGCGGGCTTTACGGCATAACCAAGTTTCATTCACCCAGGCCCCGTATGACGGCGGGCCTGTCGCTGAGCCATCGAGGGGTGTGGTAAAGAATGTGTTATGTAACAAAAGAAACTTCATTTTTAGTCGTGAAACGTTAATATTTCTTGTTCACAGAAATCTTCTAAATTTCTTGCACTTAGTCGCGTTGGCGTACATATTGGCTTGGCATGGGCAGGTGGTTAGGGCGCTTAACCCGCAATCTTAGGATCGCAGGTTCGAATCCCCATCCCACCAAACATGCTCGGCCTTTCAGCCGTTGGAGCGTTATATAATGTGACGGTCAATCCCACTATCCGTTGGCAAAAGAGTAGCCCAAGAGTTGGCGATGGGTGGTGATGACTAGCTGCCTTCCCTCTAGTCTTTCACTGTTAAATTAGGGACGGGTAGCGCAGATAGCCCTCGTGTAGCTTTGCGCGAAATTCAAAACAAACAAACAAACAATACTAACTAAACGTATTTATAAATCAAAACTGCAAAAAATGGTCACATCATTTTCTTTGATTCTGGATGAATCAGTAACCATTGTTCTATTCCTGTCTATCTTAAGTTATGGTGCATATTGAAATATGCGAAAAATTAATCCATATATAACTTAAGAGTTAGAGGGGACCTAATTGAGTTATCTAAGATTGTAAAGGAAATAGATAGTGTGATGCATCATCTTTTTCCATAATTAACAGTGAGAATAGTAGGACTCAGGGGACACAATTATAAATTTTGGAAAGGTAGCAGTGATCTTCAGCTAAGACAGTTTTATTTTTCTAACAGGGTGGTTGGTCTTTGGAATGGGTTGCCTTTTGATGTTGTGGAGACAGTAATTTTAAGTGAGTTCAAGAACAAGCATGATAATTATATGAATGATAAGAGTTGGATTTAAGATTTTATTTACTTATTTATTAGTTTTAGTTTAGTTTAGAGAATAGGACAGCCGAGATGGATCAATAGGTCCCTTGTTGTCCCAAAACATTATGTTATGTTACGTATGTAGTAACCTAATACATATCTAGCTCAAACTTACATATTAATCACTGTACACCTGCAATAATGACGTCACCATTTAGTAGCCACGTAACGAATTTTTTTGTGCATTGGAGCACATATAATGGCTGGAGACGGCTTGAATGGGTAATGATGAAAAATTTTAATATAAGTTTAACATAACAGCAAATGTACAACGTTTCGACAAGGTTTTGTCATCATCAGGTACCAGAATCTTGTCCAGTAGTTTGATATGCTTCTGTATTTTAGTTTTTTTCTAGAAAATGTTCAATTGTTCTCAGTTTTTTTTCCAACGAGGTATGAATACTACAATTAGTAATTACTAGCACA